TGGCTGTCCCTGGCCCCTTTGTCCTTACCAGAGCCGCGCTCCCCGGATGTACGGGCACAGCGTAAAGTGCTCTGGTCTTGGTCTCTAGGATCTGGACTGAAACTCGGTTCCTCTGGGCTGTCCTCTGCTTGGGCGACTTTCTCTGGAGAAGGTGGGGATGTGTTAGATGCCAACACAGGAAAGTCTGTGTCCTGAAGAACCTTTAATTTCCCGAAAGGAATCTCCAGCTGTCTTTCATTGTGGCTGGGCTTCACACTGGGGCTCTGTCCAGAGTGAACAGAATAAGGATGGGAAAGAAGATTTTGGTGTTTTTGCTCACTGACAGTCTTTGTCAAATTTTGGTTACTATGACAACATTCATTTTGGTTAACCTTAGTGCTGTTCTCAGCAGAAGGTTGCTTGTGGACTGTTGGGGTAGACTCTATATCTGTGTCTGAGTGCACAAGGTCAATGCAGACAATCGTTTCTCTGGATGTTACAGAGGAACAGACGGGTTTGCTTTGACTGCCGCCCTGTCCTTGTGCTCCTGCATCCCTATCAGGCTTCTTCTGGCTCCCTTCACCTGTCTCTTTCCCAATGTTATGATCTCTGTGGCCCCCACATTCTTCGACAGCTCCCCGAGATTTCTCCTGTCCCCGGGGCTTTAAAGTTGCATCACCCCTTTCTGGCAGCTTGCTGTCTGAGTGAGTCTGCATCAGCGGATGGGCCATTTCCTGTGAGTTGTAAGTGAGGTATTCCCCTCCTGGGCCAGCTGGGAGGTTGTGATAGGGTAATGAGTGTTTTCCTGCCAGGTGGGTTGAGTAAAGGTTGTTGCTGTCCAGCAATACTGGGTGAGGGTAGACTGGGCTTTTTCCTGTAATTGGTAGAGAGTGTAGTGCCATGCCATCAGGGATGGGGTAGTGCAGGTATCTATTGGCATAGGCCAAATTGTGGTTCAGGTAAGCATCACTCTGAGGAAGGTAAAGGTGACCAGGAGGGTGACCATTCTCTAAACAGGGCCTCTTGTACGATGACACCTCTGGAGTTGTTTCACCCCTCTTAGTGGCCTGGGAGGACTTCTCCATTCCCTCTCTGTTGTGCCCTATGACCGGTGGACGTTCTGATTGGCTTGGGCTGTGTTTGACCCAATCACCATTGGGTTTGGGAGAAAGAGCTCTGGAAGCAACCAGAGAGGAGCCCAAGTGTTGAGTGGAGGAAACATTGGGGTTGGGCTCTCCTATCCTTGGACAAGATGAGCTACGTTGGTGAGGGAGTACCCTCTCTAGACCCTTGTGTTTGATAACGGAGGGCGAGGAGCCTTTGGCTTGTGAAAGGCCCAGGTCTGTGTTAGGCCTCGGAGAGGGGGGCAGGCCTGGGGTGTGCTGTGTATTGGAAGGAGACGGACTAGGTACGACCCAGGAGGAGTGTAAAGTGCTGATCATCTCTGGCCTCTCAGAGACCTTTGAAGAAGTGCTGCTGACCACAGAGTGAGGGTGGGAGGAGGGAGAGAGGGCCAGGTTTTCTTTGACAAGCTCTCGGCTAGGGGGCAGTCCATAACGTGTGCCTGATGCTACAGTGTCCATCTTAACTTGAAATCCATTGGGAGGCAGACCAAACTCCAGTATTCTTCCAGACAAATCTAAGGGCTTTTCTGTCGAGTCTTTGGTTGCTTGGAGTTGATTAGCTTGCCTCTCAAAATTAGGTTTGGAGGGTGAACTGCTGGGTCTCTTCTCAACTCCTGCATTTCTGTGCTCAGGCCCCCCATCTCTTGGCCTGGGTTTGTGGGGGCTGGGCCGGGCAGGAGAGAGCTGCTCTGATGCCATGCTGTTCACAGAGAAGGGATGAGGAATGGACTGCTTGGATGAGGGTGAAGCAGATACTGAAGATGTGGAGGAGGTGGTTACTTGGCCTACCCTAGCAACTGGCCTTTGTAAGTCCAGTGAACTGTCAATAAGAGCAGGAGGAGGGGGGGGCTGGGGTAGGCGAGAAGATGCATGAGAATCAGTAGGTAGACTATTATTATTTCCACTGTTTGTGCCACTGGTGCTCACACTACTGGTGTTATTGCTGTTGCTAGATCCCTTCCTAGATGGAGGTCTGCTTGGTCTACTGCCCCTGCTTGGTGACCGGTCCCTGTCTATAGCAGCCTGATGGTGCTGAGGAAGAGGGGAAGGTTGATGGAGCTGCTGTGCAAATGGAGATGCAACACCAAGCCCCTTGTCCTGGCAATGAACCAGTGGTGTGGGGGCCACTGTCACTGTAGGAATCCTCATAGGGGGTGCCACCAAGGGAGAAGAAATTGGAGGAGGGTGATAAGGGGGCATATAGTAGAGCCTCTCAGCAGCAGAAGTGGCTGCAGCAGGGTTAACATTAGCCCCCTGGGCTGCACACAGGGAAGGGTAGGCCAGGAGCTGGGGGAGATAGGGATTTGGTTGGCTGAGTAAGGAGGGTTTGTACATATTTAGAGCTGCGTACTTGGTGGTATCCATGAAGGGATACATGGCTGCATCAGGGTAAGGGCTGAGCCAAGGTAGGCGGAGGTAGCTGCCACTAGCGCTTGCCAAGCCTAGTTCAGATGCTTTTTCTCCAGGACCTACTCTGCGTTCCAATCCTAGACTTTCAGCTCCAGGAACCAGCAGAGGTTTGTGGAGACTTGGAGGGGTGCCCTTGTAGAGGCCCAGGTATCCATTAGTGGGCTTACGACTGTCCAGAGGGCCATCCGGCTTGTAGATGAGATCTGGGAGACCATCCCTGTTATAAGTAAGGGGGAGGGTGGGTGCCTCTCTGCTCTTCTCTGCTGGCAGTGTTCTGATCCCTGGGTATACAACACCACTATGGAGACGAAGACCATCGTGCATCAGAGCGCCTCGGTCCAGCCCCATCGCCGCCAGGGGTGTCAACCGTGCATCCACCTGTAGAAAATAGGGGAAGACTGTTTAGTTTGCTTTAGTGTTTTAGGTTAGTTACATGCATGAACATAGTCAAACTGAGCAAGTGTATATTTCCAGATAGTATTCATGTGACTCATGAGTGTAAACAGCACCAAGGATAAACATGGGACTTGCCATGTTTTGTGTGATGTGGTTCCCTTGTCTTAATTCCAGGTTGGTTTGTATCTCAGCATCAACATCACGAACAGTTATTGCCCTGTGGAAATGAGCAAACAGTAAAGAGTCACTACCTTGGCTCTGCTACACACACACACACACACACACACACACACAGGCCACAACTTTATTGCTTCCAAAAAATTCTGACATGGCAAAAATGTCAGTTTATTAAATCTCTGAAAGAGAAATTAAGAAGTTAAGTGTTGCACATACTTTTCATGACATGCAAATTGAAATAATAAATCAACAGATGTGTTATTTCTATATGACAATCAAATGTGGCTCAGAGATGTGTGAAATGTGATACAGGGAGTAGAGCAAAGGTACAAAGAAAAGAAAGATAATGGCACTGTGAGCTGCAGTCATCACACCCTTCCTCTCATTCTCACTCACACACACACGCGCACGCACACACACACACGTGCACACACACACGTGCACACACACACACGTGCACACACACACAAAACTCCATTGAAGTGGTCACTGAAGATAAAAGCACTGTGTGGGCTCCCCTCCCCTCCCATCCGTCAACATCCCTCAGCAACCCTCCATCCTCCTCTCCCCCCCTCCCCTGACCTCCATCCTGCCCACCTTGTGGGCTAGACGTGCATTGTGGGGCTGCATCTATTCAGTCACGTTCCCCACACACTGGGTTTTTGGCGCCCTCTTTGACCTGCTCTCTCAGCCGCCTCAACCAGTGGAGCAGGGGAAGATTATACATCAGAGCTCGCTTCGGTAGGAGACCATTTACCGCCCGCCAACACAGAGCCGCAGATCAACAAACGCTCACACCGACGAGCACACAAATGTATAGCATGCATATAGAAGGAGAAGGGAAAAAGACAACTGGGTAAACTTTCTGATAATACACTGAATATGAAAAGGGAAAAAACAAATAGAGGACAGGTTTAAAACATAAAAATCAACATAACCAGGAAGTAAATATGGTGTTTGATGGGTTTTTTTTGAAAAACAAAAATAAATGCAAAGATCCCTTTGTGGGTGAAATACCCTATAACCTATAAATATTTAGTGTACCTTTACATTTCTTTAAAGCACTGGACCTTAATGGAGATGTTATTTTATATTAAAGGAGATATTTTACTTCACATAGATATTAATATCAATTATTCAGTAGCACAACACTTTGGAGAGAGAGTTCTTGGCAGGACTAAATCTAGTTTTGGATAAGTAGCTAGTCTTTTGTTTTCAATTATGTTGAGCAATAGCTAGAATGTCTGTTAGAAACAATACATGTCAAATATGGAACATGCTGGCTTCTATTGATTTAGCCTAAATGAGAACATATGCAAGACCTTACTCTAAATGTAATGTATGTTCACAAGAAAAAAACAGTCCATGGCTGCAAATTTAAACTGTAGTATCAGATCTTTAGTAATTTTCTCAATTTGTATTTATTTTATGGTGGAACTAAGGTGAATATAAAAAAAAATCTACTTAAAGACCTGTGACAATCCCTTTCTTCTGCACAGGTGAGAGTTATCACAATCTTGTAACAACAGACAAACCACACAAATTTGATATTCTGAAGCATTTTTATACTAATGGCAAACTGAGATATCACTGACCATTTTGGCGAGTCTGGGGTCTGCCTAATTTCATAAGGCTGGTTCAAACCCATCAAAAAACAAAGAAGTGAAACTGTTGCTCCCTCTTCGCAGATTGTATGTAAAAGGAAATATTAAAAATTGAATAATAGGGTTGATGACTCTTTAGAGGGGGCTTTTCGCCAGGCAGCCCTGTTGAGGGGAGCCAGGGCAGAAATGATGTGGTAAAACAAGAGAATAAATAGTCAAAGTGAAGTGTTGCCCTGCTCGGCAGTGCTGAGAGCAGCGGAGACACTCGGCTCCTCGATCATATCGAAGAAACGCCTCTGAGCCACGCCGCTGGCACGCCACTTTTATTGCCGTGACCCCGGGCCCATTAATCAGCCTGGGCCCCTTGGTACAACTCCTCCCTGTCCCAGTGCGCCCATCCCCCCACCGCCCCCCTGCCCCAACTCCCTGGGGCCAGTTCCGCACTACAGCGTACCAATGTGCATGCGTTTCTGCGGATCAGGCAGACAGCGTTAAGAAATCACATCACTGCAGCTTCCTGTTGAAGCCACACACGCACCTCTCTCCCTCTGCCGTCTGTGTCTCTCCACACATACAGGCACCTCTTGCTCTGTAAAGTAAGCACCGAGACTGCACATGAAAACCAAGACAAAAAAAAAAGAAATTAAAAGGGTGGTAGGCCTTTATGGACATTTATATTCATCCTAAACACAACAGTCAACGCCAGTATAGTGGACCATTGCTCTCTGGGATAACTTTGAGTTTCTTCCCCAGAAAAGAATGATCCGATCTTGTCCAATTCAGCGCGTAAAACCACTCTGATGTCCTTTGGCCTTACTGCAGCGCGCCCAGGCTGCGCTGATGGCTGCGTAGTTCATGCGACCCCATGAACATTGGTCCAGCTAAGATGAGAGGCTGTACCAGGCCTCAAGGTCAGGATCACACACTTGAAGGCACAATACATGCTCCGCCGGGAACAACACAGCCTTTGAACGCATGTGCAGACCCCTGTGCGCTCTTAGCCGTGTGCTCAAAACGCAGGTTGCGCTATGAAACAACGTACTCAGCCAAACACAATTTTTAATCACAAGCCCTATATTTTGATTTAAACATTGTTCTAATAATTGTATATAGACACATTTTGGAGGATTTAAAATACTACCGTTTATGTAATATTCACATCTCGCATGCTGTGTCTGTGATAGTGAGGAGTTCAGCCAATGTATTTCAATCTTTAATTTCAGTGAGGACTGAACATAAAGACCTTTTTTCCACTGGGTGTTGGGCAGTCTTGAAGTAGCTTATAAACCCGAGTCACTGAGAATATTCTAGGGAGAAATTCTGCCAAAACGCCACGTTATGAGTGGAAGGACGGGGAGAGACAGGAAAGGAGGAAAAGGCGGTATGTTGACGCCCATCCCCGCGGCTAAGAATAGTTTGCGCAACAAACAACCGACAGCCGTCCAATTCATCACACTGGTCGGGAGCAGCAGGCAGGCAGGGGGGAGAGGGGCGCAGAGATCTGAGCTGCGTTCATAAAGCAGACCGCTGGAGCGGAGCCCTGGCTCGCACCATTAAACAGAAAACCACGGGGTGCTTTTAGCGGAACCTCACATGGTCTACCTCTGTAGTCTGGTATTATGTGATTTTCAGGGAGGAGGAGCAAACAAGGACAGAGGGATAGAGAAAAGAAGGAGAGAGAACACGTTCTCCTTCTCCTGTTTCTAACGACAATGACTTGAACTCTCCGTGACCTGCAGGAAGGCACCGGAACAAGCACCGGCACCGCTTGTAATTACCTCCAGGGCTGAGGCCTGTGTCAGCAGTGCAGCGCAGTGTTTGCGTGGGTACCGGTAATGTGTTCGTGCGTGTGTATGCGCGCGAGAGAGAGGGAGAGAGAGAGGCTGGGAGCAAACAGAGTTGAGAATATGGTCCTACACCATTCACAGCTTCCTTCTTCACAAGTTGATAAATTACCAACTCGAAACGCAGATCCAGAATAATAAGAACCCAGAGCATATCCATCATTCACAAACAGCCTCATGTGTTTGTGATCCGGCTGTTGCAGGGTCAGGACTGCGCGTCTGTGCGGCAGCAGGAAGCCGGGAATGTGGGTCTCACTGTACAACGGGAGTGAAGGCGCCCTCTCACTCTTTGTCCCTGGAGCTTTGCCAGGTTCACTGAAACGCTGAGCTCCGATCAGCTCTAAAAAATGCACTGTGACGCAGGATAATCTCCGCAGCGACGGGGGTGGGGTGGGGATAAACACGGATTAAATGTGGGCGCACGCGCGCGCGCATACACACACACAGTGGCGCTGTATGTGCGATTTAAAAAGAGAGGAATTCTGCGCGCACTGTTGGTGAACAAAAAAATAAGAAAGCAGTGGGAACGAAAATGAGAACATACATAAAGAGCGTGGACGAAACCTACAGACTGACTACTAATGATACAGCCTCTAGGCCACACTTTCACCAGCACGAACAGTGCTCGTATAATGAGCTAAAGCGCCGAAGAGAACGCGTGCCCAGTTTTAATTGTTATTGATTATCAGGCCGACAAGTGCCAAATGGTCCGACAGATCATCTCACCGTAGGCTCAGAGTGCAGTCTCTGGAAAGCCGACAAGCTGTGTGTCACTGTGGTGTTTGATGGAACAGAACTACACAGGTTGAACAGAGACAGAGGGACCGAGGGAGAGATGGGGGAGATAAATGCTGTGGAGACAGAGCGAGCTGCTGCTGGAGCGCGGAGCTGGAAGGAGCCAGCGGCGTCTCTTCAGCTGTCACATTATTAGCGGCCGAGCTGTAAACAATGGGCCACTGCGTTCTCCCGGGCCGCTGCACAGCCTCATGCAAGTCGGTGCACGGTTCACTTCCCCCCCTTGGCAGCACGGCCATCAACAACGGCGACATTGTCAGGCGCCCCATGCTGTCACTAGGGCCCGGGTGGCGGCTGCTGAACTGCCTCCATTCACCCCGGGCCAAATGAGGACTAAATGGCCCTTTATATTACCAAAGGACCCGATTGTAATAGGGACGCGCATGTACGAATCGCTCTCGTTTACCGGAGGTCCCTTGACTTTTCTTGGAAATGCTGGCCTTGCTTTCATGTGTTGGATGTTACGATGACGCCAAGGGACTGATATCCTATCACTCACCCCCATAGGATGAACACTGTTTAAAGGACAGGCTTAATTATTAGTGCTGTGTAAAGACCAACGTTACGCATAAAGTCTGTTTAAGCAGGTGCTGAATTCGTGTGAAATAAACCCAGCTTTCACACCTCTGACAGATTTCTGGCTTTTGAAAAGGTCACAGGTATTCAGGGGGACACATGAGAAAATGATGCTGGTGTAATTAAAGCTCTAATAAGTTAGAAATACAAATTAATTCTTTGCTAAAATGCGGTTTATAATCCCCTGTGATGATTCAGCTCGAGGTCAAAAGCTTTATAACCAAGGTGAACTCAGA